CCATACACATTCACAAATGTATCAAATAAGAGCACACATCAATTAAGAGAATAATACTAATTGTAATTAGAAGCATAGATTAACATAATCAAGCACAAATTGCCTATTTAACTACAATTAACTAATAACAAGAAAGCTAATTTGTATAACAAACCATAAATATTAAGCCTTTATCCATCAAATTAATTGACAATTGTATCAAATAAGTATCATGCTATAGCCATCACTAAACACAACTACAAGAAGTATTTAATGTAGAATATAATCCTAAGCAGTCACACATAGACATGCAAATTACATATAGAATTAATGAAAGAATTAAGTTCTAATCATCTAGTGAAGAATAAAATCCCTAATTAATCATACATAGACATACAATCAATTGGAGATTTCAATGGAAATTTAACAAATCAAGCATGTATATATAAAGAAATCACAAGGCCATACAATTTAATTACAACATAATAATTCCCTAAGAAAAGAAATACAAAGGTTAGGGTTACATGAACTTAGGGCTCATCCAAGCCCTAAGTGAAGAACTAGCTCATGGAGAAGATGATCATGGTATCAACAAGCTCCATCTCCATCTTTTGGCTCCTTCTTCTTCTTCCTTCAATTATAGACAAAGCCTCTGTAAAAATGTTCTTCAAACCCTAGCTTTTCCTTTTTCCCCAGAGAGAACGTGATATCCCGGTACAGAATAAATAAAACTTAATCATTTAAAAATAATAAAACTCTCTCCTAAGTAAAATAAAAACTAACTCTCAACTAATGGTTTACTGGGCCTTAAGTAATAACCCTAATAAAGCCCAATAGTTCACAAAATAAGCCCAAACAATAAGAAAATCCTATAATGTTGCCAAGTCCTGGCGGATCGATCCCCCACCCTGGGGGATTGATCCCCTAGAGTTGGAAATTTCCTTTAAGCCCTATTTAGCTCCATTTTGGCCCCGAGCTCATTGGTTTGGTTCTTCATCTTTGGGAACATCATCAAAGGCCTGAGATTGACCGTTTTTGAAGAATAAACACACTATATGAGCAATGGGCTGCGACCTCCTTTTTGTCATTTTCTGAGCTTTTCTGAATATCTTTGCTTGACTCCAAAAAGGCTTTAGTGAACCAAAATTAGCTCATTTTAACTTTATTACCCTGAAAAACACATAAACATAAATTAGGACTAAAACATGAAATTAAGATGGATGCAAAGACTGAAATACCCTAGCTTAGGTGTTGAAATGTGCAACATTTAAGCAGTTATCATTCACCAAATATGCCTTTAAATTTCTCTGTGAATATTGGACCTAGTACAGCTAAATAAAAACCATATTTATTGACAAGCTACCGAATTCAAATCTCAAGTGAGACCGACATTAAAGATGGTGAGTTATGGTAATCTTGACCATCTTTAGCCTGATTCAAAATCAGAGCTAAAGATGTAATACAATAGAATGCAAAATATCAATAGAAGACATCAGAGAAACTAATAATAATCTCCAACCTAAAAATAAATACTAAGCTTTTAGCAAATGCAAAAATGAAAAGGCTGATCGCTATCAATATGCCTATCTCTACCAACATATGAGAGTAACTACGAACAAAATTTTACTACCAAGGCCATAAACTGTAGATCTAACAATAGAAGAGAGCCAGCCTTGAAAATTATAAAGATTAATTTTAAAACATTACCAGATGGATATCAGTAGGCTCAAGATCGATTGTGGTAAGGTTGAGTTGGGACAAATTGTTGGTCCTGGTTATCCCTAGAAACCATGTGTTGCTGCAATTTGAGAAGAAAATTCAATTTGATAAATAAGTAATATACAACATGACCCCCATAAGAGCATCTTCAATGCTAAAACCTATTTTCGCATGCCAAATCTATATTTTGACAGGTGCTTCAGTGCCAAAATGTTACATTTTAGCAATTCAGTTCCAATGGTACGTTTCCCGCAAAATGCTATTTTTTAACACAACCACTATTCTTTTTCAACAACTATTCCCACCATTCATATTTGCATAGTAATATTAATATTAGGCACATTTCTAGAAGGAAACTAAAATTAAACCTAATTAAAAAGAAGTACAAACCTAAAATATCCGGTCAAAAAAGGATAAAATTTTTTTTTTTTTAAAACAATAATTTTATAATTTTTTTACCACTATTTGTGAATTAATTTTTTTATGTAATTCTTTTTTTTAGAAATTTATATATATATTATATATAATATATATATGTATATTATATATGTGGAGGGAAAGAACCCCACCAGTTACAATATAACACGCAGCAATGAGAAGTAGCCCAAAGAACCAAATCAAGACACGTAGAGGCCCAACATTGATGAGAGGCCTAACAGAAAAGATTACATACTGGTCTAGCCTGATCAGATCCAGAAAACCCCGCCCATCATGAGAACTGGGCAAATGGCCCATTCTTAACAAAGCCCAAAGCTCCATAACGCTTATCATAGTAAAGTGCACGATCAACAAGCATAATTGCCCACGTCTGAGAAAATAATAAAAGCCAAAAAATGGCTCCATGTAATCCTCTAAGGAAGAACTTATAAATAGAGCCAAAATGAGGAAGAGAAGGATCATCGAATTCCACTGAAAATACTTCTTCTGATGTCTGATTCATTTACATTTATTCTAATTGCTTGTTTTTTAGATTACTATTTTCCTTACGTGTTCGGGTGTAAAAATTTGCACCAACACTTTGACGCCGTCTGTGGGAAGCTATACGAAAAGTCCGCCCTCTATCTCTTGCGTGCGACATCACTCCAGAATGGAACCAGAATTAGACGCCAGACAACCACAACAACAGCTAGAGATCGTGCAGAAAATACGCGAGGAGATGCAAGGTCAACTTCACGTATAAGTGTGACTGAAGATTTGCAAATGTGAGGGGGTCTCCTTGATGTATTGACAAACCACAGGGGGTGTAACTGAAGTTTACCCTATAAATTTTAGTATTTAAATTCATTTTTAATTGCTGAAAAAAAAAAAAAAAAATTCATGTACCCATTTGTCAAAAGGGAACTAGAAATTTTACTTTCATTGTGGGAGATATATGTTATGGTCCTTCATATCGAACTGATTGAAATTTATAATGATTTTGAATGTATGATATGCATTGATTTCATTCTAACATAAATTTATAAAATCTATATGCCAATTTTTTTTTTTACGTACCTTTTTAAGTCGACCAACCACTTATTTTATAGAAGCATTAATGATGGTAATGTCTATGAGTCATCAAATTGGGTGATAGTTATCTCTATGTCCTCAGTTTATTCACACCTGAACTTTTTAATCAGACGGATATTCGGTATCATGTTATATATATATATATATATATATATATAGGGAAAAAATCACATAACCCCCCTGTACTAACGTTTTTGTCCAAATTGCCCCCACTAAAATTAAACACCCCCCTCAACTATAAACCATCATCACATTGCCCCTTTTCCGTTCAAACCCATTAAGTTGCCATTTGGGTAGTAGCACGTGACCAACACGCGCTTATTAAATTTTTTTTCCCCTAAAATACCCCTTCCCCTGTCCTCTATGTTATATTATATATATAAGTGTGTGTACTATATATATATATATATATATATATATAAACTTGTGTACTGTCGTGTGTGCAAAGCTCTGAAGCCCTAAAAGGAAAGGGAAGCGGGAAGCCGCGTTTTGTTGAAGCCCTAAAAGGAAAGGAAATCCTTTTAATGTGTGCAGTCGTTCCCTTTTACTATGTGTGCAATCAAAGCCCTAAAAGGAAAGGAAAACAGTAAGTCCAACTTCCATTTTACTCCTTGCAATCGAAGGCCTAAAAAGAAGCCCCGTATTCCATCTTCGTATCATTCAACACCATAATTGAAGGTACAAAAATTTATTCTCAATGCATACTATTTACATATATTCATATATTCAAATTCAATTTTGGTAGGATTTGTAATTTTTGGTACAAAAATTTATTCTCAATGTATAATATTTATATATATTCATATATAAAAATTCAATTTTGGTATGATTTGTAGATTTTAAACATATAATGTTAACCTCAAGCATTCGATCTAGTGGTGGTTAGATTTGAGGTATAAGAATCTTTATTGTGATTGTTGGGAACTGGCTGAATTATTGGTAACAGGAAAGAACGATAATAACAATTTTGGAAAGCTGTACTATAAATGTCGCAACAAAGAATGTGGATTTTAGAGATGGTGTTATCCAATTTCATCAGAAACCATTCAGAGTGAAGGCAACTTACTTGAGACTCGGCAACATGTTGAAAGGGTATTAAAATATGATATTACTCAGTTGAGGTTGTATGTAGAAGCCATGGAAGAAAGAGTGAAATTTATGATGATTCTTATTGCAGCCTGTATCTTCTTATGTGTTTTTGCTGTGGTGTGTTCTTTGTTAAAGAGATAAAGAGTTGTTTTGTTTATCTGGTGCTTCTGTTTTATTAAGTGGTGGAACTTCTGTTTTTGTACTATGTTTCATCCTTTATGAATGTAAGAGGTAGAATGAAATGGTTGCACTATGTTGTAATTGAACCATTTACATTGAATATGGCATTGTTCTATTCACATTGCAAATGGCATTGTTTCATTCACATTGCAATAACCTGCTTAAAATGCACAATATGATAATAACATTGCATTCCATCCACATTACAATAACCTGCTCTACATTCCATCCACATTGCAATAACCTGCTGCTCAAATGGACTATGCATCATACAAAAATAACATAATCCATTGCAAAGTTACAACCATCATCCATTGCAAAGTTACAACCACCTATTAGGTCCACAAAAATAACATCATCCATTGCAAATTTACAACCACCCATGAGGTCCATAAAAATAACATCTTCTAACCATTACTTTAAGATCCTCATACAAATATTACGTTAATCAATAACGAGGTCAATAAACAAAAAGTATGAGGTATATCTTGCAAAAATATTGAGGTCCACTTGCAAGTTTAAGTTTAAGATCCATTAACCTGCAAAAAAATTAAAGGCAACCATCAGTTGATGTTCCATTGACAACAACCTGAAAAAACAGATTTGTCTTTAGCCACTTACTTACCCCATTCACAAAAAATTTCTTAATCACCAATCAATCTTGTGTGTCTTGTGTTGATGGGAAATCCATTTCAACCACTTGATATTGGTGGCTAGATGATGATGCCTATTAAAAAAAATTACAGAACAAGTTGAAAGTTACAGATTTGATAGAACATGATGATGCCTACTAGAATAAGTTGATAGTTATCATATCTTATACTACTAGAACAAGTTGATAGTTACAGATTTGATAGAACATGATGATGCCTACTAAAACAAGTTGATAGTTACCAAACAAGTTGATAGTTATCCTATGTTATGCTAAAACAAAATTATATATTAAAGAAGTTGATAGTTACAGAATTTATATACTTGGGAATGATTACCAACATGATATCTTATGCTAGAACCACCTTTTGCTGCCCTTAAACCACCTGTAGCCATAATATCACTTGTAGCCCTTGCAACATCCATAAATCCACCTGCATTCCTAGCAGCAGCCATGAAACCACTTGCAGCCCTAAAACTACCTGCCCCATCACTTGCAGCCCTAGCTACAGCTCTAGTTGCATCAAAATCAACTGCAATAGTGGCAACAACACCACTTCTACTTCTGCCACCCCTATATATATAATCAAGACAATAGATAAGTATAAAACTTTCCACTGATTGGTGTTGTAATTAAACACTATTTAAAGTTCCAACTGTTTGTACCACATCTCGTTGTATGATGTCCCTCCAGTTGCATAGGTGTGAGAAGAGGTACGAATATCCATGAAGTACCTCGCTATGTTCTACGGAGATTTTGGCCTCAAAAACATTAGCAACCCATTACAAGCTAGACCCATGGTACAATTAGGTAACAGTGATTCAGTTGGTATACAGAATACCAAACCCCTGTTCCTGATACCTTCACATGCAAACAAAATCTTTCTGTTTTCTCTCTAAAATCCTATGCCTACTTATGTAAATTTGTCAATCAACTAAGAATAGAATAATAGTCATGGATTTGGTAAATACTAGTCACCTAATTGATAGGATTGATAAGCAACTGGAATGACAGCTGGTATTATTTTACATGTTTAAACAGCATAAAGATACTACAGTAAAAACAAGCAAGCGTAGGTAATAACTAAGACAACATTATTGGCTTCCATGTTTTGCATTGCCTTTTCCGTCCATATGTATAATTTTTTTTTATTTTCGATTGTGCATAAAGGTGTGAACAAATCAAAATACACTGTGCCGATTTAACAAGTATAGGATTGTTTCGATGTTTGGTTGTACACGAAATCAAGAAAAACATTTTTCTTATTGCACTCTCTTAGAGTTTCTTTCTCTGTTCTCCCCTTCTAATGGGGCTTTCAAATAAAAACTAGTGAATTAATCAGAGGATCTAATCCTAACCGTGTACCACCCATCGTATAAAGATAGTCCAGAAACATGGATGGCTACAAGGACTCGACATACCCGACTGTCTAGTGGCACTTTTTTTTTTTTTTTTTGAAGTAGAAGATAGAAGGCTTTAAGTTAAGCATTTATACTCATAAAGTGGGTGTGACTTGTGAGTGTGTCCAGGTTGAACTCCTTATAGGAATAAAGTGAGGTGTTCCGGTGTGTTTTTTGCTAAGATAATATATATATATATATATATATATATATATATATATATATATATATAAGGAGTTCAACCTGGACTATATATATATAAATATATATCCTCTAACTAATTACACTACCAAGGTAGAGAGGTCATGAACCAAGGTTATAACATCTTTACAAAATTGTACTTAACTGAAACAAATTTTTAAAAAAATTAGGGCTGAAAATTTATTTAAACAAAATTTTCCAGAATATTCAAAGTACTTTTAACCCATTCAGGAAAAAAAAAAAAAAAGGACTTTTACAAAGATTATCAGAAAATTTCACAGAATACTTTTACAAAACCTATTCTTCAAAACTCTCTTTATGTCCACCCAAACTATAACCTGCAAATACAAATAAAAAAATAAAAAATAAAAAACTCTATTTTTTTTCATTAAATATAAAGGAGGACAATTTGTATTAAACATACCAGACTGATTACAGTAAACCAAAATTGTTTAACATGCCTAGCCTCTGTTAATAACAAGAAGCTCACAAACATATAATTTAGACAATACAACACCAAAACTTGTATAATCAACCTCAATCATGTTCACAATGATTATCCTCACGAAAAAAAAAAAAAAGCGTATATTTGTGATGTGTAAGAAGTGTTTGGGTACAAAAATAACATATATCTAAGGAGTGTTTGGGTACAAAAATAACACATATCCGGGGATTGGTTAATCCTATATCAGAAAATGACAAAAAGGGCATGTGAGTCATTCTATTAACGTATGGGTGTGACTGAAGATTTGCAAACGTGAGGGGGTCTCCTTGATGTATTGACAAACCACAGAGTGTGTAACTGAAGTTTACCCTATAAAAAATTAGTATTTAAATTCATTTTTAATTACTGAAAAAAAAAAAAAAAAAAATTCATGTTCCCATTTGTCAAAAGGGAACTAGAAATTTCACTTTCATTGTGGGAGATATATGTTATGGTCCTTCATATCAAACTGATTGAGGTTTATAATGATTTCGAATGTATGATATGCATTGATTTCATTCTAACATAAATTTATAAAATCTATATGCCATTTTTTTTTCTGTACCTTTTTCAGTCAACCAACCACTTATTTTATAGAAGCATTAATGATGGTAATGTCTATGAGTCATCAAATTGGGTGATAGTTATCTCTATGTCCTCAGTTTATTCACACCTAAACTTTGTAATCAGACGGATATTCGGTATCATGTTATATATATATATATATATATATATATATATATAGGGGAAAAATGACATAACCCCCCTGAACTAACGTTTTCGTTCAAATTGCCCCTACTAAAATTAAACACCCCCCTCAACTATAAACTGTCATCACATTGCCCCTTTTCCATTCAAACCCATTAAGCTACCATTTGGGTAGTAGCGCGTGACCAACACGCGCTTATCAAAAAAAAATTCCCCTAAAATACCCCTTCCCTTGTCCTCTGTGTTATATTATATATATATATATATATAAACTTGTGAACTGTACTGTGTGTAAAGCTCTGAAGCCCTAAAAGGAAAGGGAAGGGGGAGGCCGCGTTTTGTTGAAGCCCTAAAAGGAAAGGAAATCCTTTTAATGTGTGCAGTTGTTCCCTTTTACTGTGTGCAATCGAAGCCCTAAAAGGAAAGGAAAACGGTAAGTCCAACTTCCTTTTTACTCTCTGCAATCGAAGGCCTAAAAAGAAGCCCCGTATTCCATCTTCGTATCATTCAACACCATAATTGAAGGTACAAAAATTTATTCTCAATGCATACTAGTTACATATATTCATATATTCAAATTCAATTTTGGTAGGATTTGTAATTTTTGGTACAAAAATTTATTCTCAATGTATAATATTTAGATATATATTCATATATAAAAATTCAATTTTGTTATGATTTGTAGATTTTAATCATATAATGTTAGCCTCAAGCATTCGATCTGGTGGTGGTTAAGATTTGAGGTATAAAAATCTTTATTGTGATTGTTTGGAATTGGCTGAATTATTGGTAATAGGAAAGAACGATAATAACAATTTTGGAAAGCTGTACTATAAATGTCGCAACAAAGAATGTAGATTTTGGAGATGGTGTTATCCAATTTCATCATAAACCATTCAGAGTGAAGGCAACTTATTTGAGACTCGGCAACATGTTGAAAGGGTATTAAAATATGATATTACTTAGTTGAGGTTGTATGTAGAAGCCATGGAAGAAAGAGTGAAATTTATGATGGTTCTTATTGCAGCCTGTATCTTTTTATGTGTTTTTGCGTTGGTGTGTTATAAAGAGTTGTTTTGTTTATCTGGTGCTTCTGTTTTATTAAGTGGTGAAACTTCTGTTTTTGTACCGTGTTTCATGTTTTATGAATGTAAGAGGTAGAATGAAATGGTTGCACTATGTTGAAATTGAACCATTTACATTGAATATGACATTGTTCTATTCACATAGCAAATGCCATTGTTTCATTCACATTGCAAATGCCATTGTTTTATTCACATTGCAATAACCTGCTTAAAATGCACAATATGATAATAACATTGCATTCCATCCACATTACAATAACCTGCTCTACATTCCATCCATATTGCAATAACCTGCTGCTCAAAAGGACTATGCATCATACAAAAATAACATAATCCATTGCAAAGTTACAACCATCATCCATTGCAAAGTTACAACCACCTATTAGGTCCACAAAAATAACATCATCCATTACAAATTTACAACCACCTATGAGGTACATAAAAATAACATCATCAATTGCAAAGTTACAACCATTACTTTAAGATCCTCATACAAATATTACGTTAATCAATAACGAGTTCCATAAACAAAAAGTATGAGGTATGTCTTGCAAAAATATTGAGGTTCACTTGCAAGTTTAAGTTTAAGATCCATTAACCTGCAAAAAAATTAAAGGCAACCATCAGTTGATGTTCCATCAACAACAACCTGAAAAAACAGATTTGTCTTTAGCCACTTACTTACCCCATTCACAAAAATTTTCTTAATCACCAATCAATCTTGTGTGTCTTGTGTTGATGGGAAATCCATTTCAACCACTTGATATTGGTGGCTAGATGATGATGCCTATTAAGAAAAAATTACAGAACAAGTTGAAAGTTACAGATTTGACAGAACATGATGATGCCTACTAGAATAAGTTGATAGTTATCATATCTTATGCTACTAGAACAAGTTGATAGTTACAGATTTGATAGAACATGATGATGCCTACTAGAACAAGTTGATAGTTACCAAACAAGTTGATAGTTATCCTATGTTATGCTAAAACAAAATTATATATCAAAGAAGTTGATAGTTACAGAATTTATATACCTGTGAATGATTACCAACATGATATCTTATGCTAAAACCACCTCTTGCTACCCTTAAACCACCTGCAGCCATAATATCACTTATAGCCCTTGCACCATCCATAAATCCACCTGCATTCCTAGCAGCAGCCATGAAACCACTTGCAGCCCTAAAACCACCTGCCCCATCACTTGCAGCCCAAGCTACAGCTCTAGCAGCATCAAAATCAACTGCAACAGTGGCAACAACACCACTTCTACTTCTGCCACCCCTAGCAAGACCTTTATCTTTATCTTTACTAGCACCTCTACCACCCCTACCTCTTCCACCCCTACTAGTACCAACAGAGTCACCTACAACACTGGCACTACCTCTTCCAGCCCTAATACTAAGAGTCTCATCCCTACCACCACCTATACCACCTGTATGCCTCAGAAGTAGGGGTCTTCCACCATTACTTTTAAGTGGTCTTTTCACAGGTTCAGCTACCATACAAGTTCTTATATTGTGCCCCTTTTGAAGACATCTAGTGCACCTCAACTTTTCCTTTTTCTTCCCTATAGCAGTAGTTTTAGGCCCTCAGTTGGACCTCTCTTTCTGTTTTTTTTAGGTTTTCCTGGTTGAGGCTTAATAGGTGGTGGCAATATATGGGAAGTGCCAACTTCTCTTCTCATATTCCTCAATGAGACTGGTGTTATCACATGACCATAACACTTGAAGTAAGATTCCCTATAGTAGTAAGGGTTAACATATGTTTGTGGATCCTCCCTTTTAAACGCTACCACAACAATTGCATGGGGGTATGGTATGCCACTAATTAATATCCCAATACTTACATGAACAGGTTTTATCTAAGACATTTACATAATCACTAACCCCTGTACCTTGGTATGAAATGTTTTCCACCTGATACTTGCCATTACTAGCAGCCTCAACATGCAATCTTCTTACATCTTGTGAATTCTTTTCTAACTTTTCCATAATCCTTAGGCATAACAATCCATTTACCTTATCCATCAGCTGCCTATTTTTTTCAGACCTTTTCATTAGTTCTTTTCTAATATTCTCAAACATATACATTAAGGGTTTCAGCCTTGCTTTGCCAATGTAATTGTTGAAAGACTCACACATGTTGTTAACACATAAATTACTCTTACTCTTCCCAGTATATGATGACTTTGCCCACACCTTCTTAGGTATTTTCATTAACTAGTCAAATGCATTTTTGTCAACAGCCTTCATTTCTTGCATTATAAGCTCAAACTGAGAGTTAGTGTATGTAGTGGCTGCATTCCAATACAAAGTCCTTAGTCTTTCACCACCTCTAAATCTCAATTTGAAATTATCATACAAATGCTTTAGGAAAAACCTAAGATCTGCTCCTGGGTACCTATTTTCAAATGTTTCAACTAGTATCCAAAAAAAAAAAAATCAATAAATAAGTATATGCAAGAATATAATATATGATATTAAAGCTATATAATATTAAAAATATATGATATGAAAATAACAAGTTAGATACCTTCTGTCTATCTGAGATAAATGTGAAGTCTTCATAGTTGCCAACCAATCCCATCAGTTCATTTAAGAACCATTTCTAAGAGTTTGATCATTCTGAGTCAACACAAGCAATTGCAATAGGGAAGAAACTATTGTTGGCATCCCTACCAACTACACACAACAGGTGACCCTGACAGGGTCCCTTAAGGAAACATTCATCCAGACCAATAAATGGTCTACATCCTTCCTTGAATCCTCTCTACATTGCCTCTAAAGAAAAAAAAAAAAGCATCCTATAAAATGAACAACCTTCATCACTATATGGAATTGTTCTTACATGAGCAACACTTCCAAGATTTGTTTCAAGAATCAACTTACAATAATCTCTAGCTCTTACAAACTGTTCTTTATAGTTGCCCTCAATAATTTTTAAAGCCATTTTTTTTGCCCTTCCCACTTTTTATCTACTCACAATATAATCAAGATCCTTCTGAACAGTATATTGTCTTATGTCTATTGTGTAATTAGGATTAGCCCTAACTTTCCCTACATAATGCTTAGCTATGTAAAAATATGTCAATTGTCTATTCTCCCTTACACCATTACAATTATGTTTATCATTGAATGTTCTTATTTTAAATGAGTAATCATCAGTGTTTATAGATTCATGAATCCTCTATCCACAGCCTGACTTTCATATCACGGTCACTCTATATATCTCCATCATTCTTCTTAAATGATAAGTCAAACTTTCCTTATATTGCTGCATACCTTATTACTTCTCTAAATTCAGCTGCACAACCAAACTTCTGACCAATCTCAAGTTTCTTGATTTCCAAATCCCTACTCATATCAAAGTAATGATGAGAAGTTGTAGTACAACTATAATCCTCCTCACCACTTGAACTTGCTAAACTAAACAATTCCTCACTTGCAGCATACTCAGAGTGTTTATTACTGTCTCTATCTTCAGCATTTTCATCATAAATAGGTATATATTCATCATTAACATCAAATTCATCTTCAACATCTGTTGCATCTACCGCATTTTCCTCAAGTTCATCTTCATCTGGTGCATATTCAACATCATCTCTATCTGTTGCATCTTCCTCATCCATAAAAAAAAGTGTCATCATAAAAGTCAAAGAAATCAACTTCACTTGTAGCATTAGCATTCCCTTCTTCAGTTGTAGCATTAGCATTCCCTTCTTCACCATCTACTCCATTAGTATTCCCTTCATTATCATCTACTCCATTAACATTCCCATCATCATCATCAACTTGTATAATTTCAACATCCCCATTTACTACAATCCTATCACTTTGTGGCATATGCTCATCTTCAGTTGGTGAAACCACAAAAAGTTTAATCATTGAGAACCTTCTATACTTACGTGTCATATCAATAAAATCCTTATCAATGGTTAATTTTGTCATAGTCCCATCAATGAAACATCTGTAGAACAAACCACTATTTTGAGGACAACCAACCAACTCTGAAATGTATTTGAAATCTATCATTGACATGTGATCAAGATCTACTCCATCAACGTTAGTAACAGACCCACCAATATAATTCATTTGCTCTGTGTTATCAAAGTTACCACCATAGTGGATTTCCAGGTAGTATAATTTAGACAAAATAGGAGTATAACCTAAATCACCACAAATAACCAAACCCAAATTAATTAAAATAACTAATTACACCAACATATTAATATAAAAAACAATCTTAATTAGAAAAAGGAAAAATTATATTTTGGTCACCAAATTGAAACAAAATTGCTATATAGTGACCTTAAAGTTGACAAAAGATAAAAATTTAACAATTTTAAAACTTTCTATATCTAAATTTACCACAAAAAACTATCTTAATTCAAATAGGAAAAATTAGATTTTGGTGACCAAATTGAAACAAAGTTACTATATAGTGACCTTAAAGTTGACAAAAGATGAATACTTACCAATTTTAAAACTTGCTATATACAAATTTGCCTTATACATTCAATACAATTAAACATATTAAATTGTTAATTAAATTATTACACAAACACTGCTTTACCATAATAATAAATTGAGATGTTAGTATGTTCACTTTAGGGTCACGTTTGAATAAATTTGTTTAGGTTTGGTCACCAAAATCTAATTTTCCCTTAAAAAATCTTACATATTAATCACACTGACATAAAATCCTAAGTAATTAAACAACTAATTAAACCATTTACGAAACAATAAAAAAAACCTAATTTAATATAAAAAGAACCCATTTTATTAACTAACACATATTATAAAAACCCTAATTTGAGATTAAAAAACCCCTAATTTAATCAATTAATTACACCAGTAGATTAGGAAACATAAAACCCCACTTTATTAATCAATCGGGACCACAAAGCTAATACAAAATTGCAAACCCTAATATTAAACAACTAATTGCACTAGTAAAAAAACCCTAGTTTTTTAATCAATCGAGACCACAAAGTTAATACAAATTTACAAACCCTAATATTAAACAACCAGGACCATAACCTTTATATAAAATTATAAGCCCTAATATCAAAGTTGTTGGAATCATACCCAATACAAAAGACCCACTTTGAAAATAGTAGTAATATAAAATCTTAAATAATACGAATATGGGAACCTAACAAGATGCTTGATCATACCTGGCAACATCTTGTCGAACAAAGTTGAAACACCTCTCACTTTCATGACCCATGGAGATGGACCACAGTCGCTTTCTCTGTCTTTCCAAAGGGGTTTGGTCACTTTCTCTGCTTTAGGTATTTTGTGGTGTGTTTGGTGGGAGACAAAGGGTTGAAAAAGGTGGGTTGCTATACGACACTGTTTTGTTGCCTCCAAATAAAACATTTCTTTTTTATTTAAATTTCATATAATATTATGGGGGGTATAGTTGTCATTTCACAGCAAGTTAATAGGTTTAAATGAAAATGGGGCAATATGATGACGGTTTATAGTTGAGGGGGTTATTTAATTTTAGTGGGAGCAATTTGGACGAAAACGTTAATACACGAAGGTTATGTGATTTTTCCCCTATATATATATGTATGTATGTATGTATGTATGTATGTATATATATATTTGTTTAGTTCTTTATCATTTATAAAATAGTATCAACACTATAGGAAATGAATTGTTTGTATAACCCAAATAAAAAATTTTCATTTAAAAAACATGAAAGGAAAAGGACAAAATGATATTAAAAAAAAAAGAAAAAAAGAAACAAGAGTTTTTAGTGTGTAATACTTATGGATGGCAAAATGGGTTACAAACCATCAACCCCCATATCTACCCGCTTTTTAATGATTATGAGTGAACCATATTTAACATGGGTTAAAAATGAGTTTAGTAATTTTTAACCATTTAATTTGAGTGTCAAGATGTTACCTATATTCAACCCATATTTCACTCAACACATAATTTCTATTTTATATTGCACTCGACTCATTTTTCTCTTTCTAAAATTCTCTTTCATGAAGGGTTGCAAGTTGGGTTGGCCAATCCAATCCCGTCTCAACCCAAAATCAGGTTAGGTTTGCCAGCCCGAATTATACCCAAAATATGTTATGTCCATAACCCAGTCCGAATAAAGAATGAACATTGTGTTCCAAGGTTATTCAGTGGAATGTTCTCTTCAAGTAGGATAGATTTCTAATAACTCTTTGACATTGTTTGAGCATAGGTTATGTTGTCTATATCTTTAAAATTCACTTTAAGCTACCTCCACCATAGTGTATGTTTCTTCCTTTTAAATTAGTTCATTTCCTATTAGAAAATGGTCTTAGATTTGTTGGTATTAGTTTACAAATAAGGTAGACATTTTCGGATGTTTGACCTCTTTCCTTGTATTTCCCCGAGTTTTTCGGATTGGTAAAGAAGAAAAAGGGGAAAACAAGGTTCAAGGATAGGATAAAATGTTATTCTTGCTTCAAAACTGTGCTGTTGATATGATAATTTAATTGTTTGTTATA